ATATAGTTAAATACGTTGATTAGGACGAGACCTTGTTAACCTACCTTCGGAGGGGAAATACCCACTCTAAGGAGTTCCCAACTAACTCATGGATGCGAGTTCTGGATAACATTAGTAATTATAAAGTAAAGGATGCGAGTTCAGGATAATAATAGTACCTATAATCTATTATATAGTAAAACCCTACAAAACATTTTAAGATGTAAAACATGTGAACTTACCAAAATTACGTTGGTCATTTTCAAATCGCATGTATTCTTAGGAAACTGTGAGATGGAAGATTGTACACCTTGAAGCAGCGAATGATCGATGAAAGTACGAGAAGCCCGTTAGCATTTATCTTTATACCTAACTGTTAAGGCACCTTTTGCATTAGAAATGTTAGTACTTTTAAGACATATTTTGATGTAATGATGGAAGTAATATTTATGTTACATCTTGTTTTGTACGCTTCAGCATATGTTCAGTATCTGTGATCCAACGTCCTAACGTCGCGCCTCCCAGCAAATCTGCCGTCGGCTGGGGGTGTGGCAACAATCTTCACATCAACCATGTATCTACAAAACACTAACCGTCAGATTCTCACCAAACCTTTGAACATACAAGTTTTTCTTTATTATAAGTCGAAGCTCGTTGTTCGTCGAAGACCACCCACGCTAGGGGCGGAGCTACTTATAACCATGGTAGGTTCTAGGACTCGCCTAATTTTTAAATTTCATATAATATTTATATAATAAAAAAAATTATGACCTACCTTGAAAATTTTTTAGGACCTACCTCATATTATTGTACGAAATAATAAAGAAATAATAAAAGAAATGGTGGAAGGCTTGTACTTAAATTTACAAAGCAAATGGTGAATATTATCAAAACCTATCCCACAATCGGAGATAAAAGGAAAGTTGCAATTGTTTGATGTTATACAAATGAATGATAAATTGTTATAAGGTGACTTGAAAATTAACACAGCTCATCCTATATTGTTGGTTGTAAGGAATAATTGTTGCAAGCGGACTTTTTATAAACAGATAATCACTCGTGCAAAGTAATTATTACTTTTTTGCAAAATATTGATTTCAATATGTCGATTTTTACTGGTTTTAAGGCGGTTCAACTGGTCTATTGAACCCGATTTTTGCAAACCGGTTGTTTTTCTATTGGCCCGACCCGAACCAACCCGCCACACTATATTGTTGACTCTTTAGTTTTTAAGGATTACTTAATTAGGAATTACGTTCCTTTCTATTCTAAATTTGCCATTGACTCCGACTTGTGGGTGCATGATAGAATCAGGCCCGATCCTAGCCAAATCGAGTCCTCAGAAAAAATCAAAAAATGGGGCCCTTGACATTAATTTTTTTTAGTAAAAGAGGGCGGAACCTCCGGAAAATTTTCATTGCTATTACTCATATTCTCATTTTCATTAGAAACATTCTCATTTTTGTTAGGATCATTCTCAATTTCATTAGTGACATTATTAGTCTCATTCATTTCATTTTTATTCTTGTTTGTACTATTAGTATTACATGTATCAACAATTTTCACATATTTATCCATAGATCCTGTTGATCGTAATGTTTCTTGTTCAAAATTTGTTTTTTTTTTCACTTCCATGGAAATGTTTTCTAGGAAACATGTTATTTTAAACATAAATACAACAATGATAATGAAAAAAGAAGTAAAGAAATGAAAACACCTCGTTATGATGTGTTGATGTTGATTTTGAATTCAACAACAATGCTAACATCCTAATATCCAACAAACTTACTTCTCTTGGTCTTTCAATTTACCAACAACTTACAAAATAAACACATATAAACTCCGAGATATTTTTCCATCCAGAAATCAGACATCAGTTAATTAGAATTCAGAAACTTCAAATCAGAAATCTTTTTCAATCCAGAAATCTAATATCTCTTTTCTGATTAAGAAATCAAAAATCAATTTTTTATTCAGAAATCAAACTCAGAATTAGAAATCGGTTTTTATTCAATAATCTTTTTCATTAATAAATCAAAATCAGAAATAGAAATCAGTTTTTATTCAAAGAATCAGAAATCAATTTCGATTATGAAGCCAAAAATCATTTTTCAATCACATTTCATAAATCTTATTCATTTGAAAAATCAGAAATCATTTACTTTACTTATTCCAATTTTTGTTTTCATCGACATCTTGGTGAACTAGGTAAAAATAATTTTCAATTTTAGAGATTCGGATTATCATATGAACAACTTGTAAACAATCAACCACTAAGAGCAACTGAGATGTGTGGTGTGACTGTGTTTGTGTGCGAGACCAATAAGTGAGGAGAAATGGAGAAAGAGGAAAGAAGATCGATTGTGATTGTTTTTATAGTTTTCGTTAGCAAGTTAAAACCTATTCTAGTTTTTTGAAAGAAAAAAACGTCCTTAGATTTTCTTGTCTTTTTTTTTTTTGCTCCAATAAATTGACTATTTAACAATTATAATTTCTTTTGCCGCCTTTTGACTCCTTCTAATGTAAGGCATAAAAGTTTTTTTTTCTTTGCTATAAATCTATACTAACGCGTGCATGATGAATTTTTTTTTATAAATATATAAGGGAGGAGGGAGTCATTCCCTCCCAACCCACTGTCTCATCAGTTTTTGTTTTTCTTTTTTCTTCATTTTTTCCAACCCACAACACACACGGAAATCATATCTTTCTCAATGCACTCAACCTACTCAATTAAAAAAAATACAAAACAACTAAGGTACAAGTCTTAAAACACATTGTACAAGAGAAAATGAGAGAGAGAAAGTAGAGAGAGAGATGAAGTGGGTTAGTGAAACCAATTAAACAAGGGGGTTGTATCTTGGAGGTACCGGCGATAACTCTATTGGTAATTAAGATTTTACCTTGATTGTTTTGTATTTTTTTTAATTGAATAGGTTGAGTGAGTTGAAAAAGATAGGGTTTCCGTGTATTGTGGGTTGGGAAAGATGAAGAAAAATGAAAAAGAAAAACGGATGTGACGGTGGGTTCAGTGGGCTGAGAGGAATCCCTAAGGGAGGAGGGAGTCATTCCCTCCCACCCACTGAACTCATTGTCACATCAATTTTTGTCTCTCCTTTTTCTTTATCTTTCCCAACCCACAAGATATGAAAATCTTATTTTTCTCAACCCACTCAATAAAAAAAAAATACAAAACAACTAAGGTACAAGTTTTAAAACACATGGTACAAGAGAAAATGAGCGAGAGAAAGTAGAGAGAGAAGATGAAGTGGGTTAGTGAAACCAATTAAACAACTCGTGGAAGAGGGAGTGGTATCGGCGGTAACTCTATTGCTAATTAAGATTTTACCTTGATTGTTTTGTATTTTTTTAATGGGTTGAGTGAGTTGAAAAAGACAGGGTTTCCGTGTGTTGTGGGTTGGAAAAGATAAAGAGAAATGAAAAAGAAAAACTGATGTGGCAGTGGGTTGGGAGGGAATGACTCTCTCCTCCCTTGAAGGAGGGAGTCATTCCCTCTTAACCCACTGAACCCACTGTCACATTAGTTTTTGTCTCTTTTTTTTCTTCATCTTTCCCAACCCGCAACACAAGGAAATCCTATATTTGTCAACCCACTCGATTAAAAAAAATAACAACTAAGGTACAAGTCTTAAAACACATGGTACAAGAGAAAATGAGAGAGAGAAAGTAGAGAGAGAGGATGAAGTGGGTTAGTAAAACCAATTAAACAACCCACTAAGGAGGGAGTGGTACCGACGGTAACTCTATTGTTAATTAAGATTTTACCTTGATTGTTTTGTATTTTTTTTTTAATTGAATGAGTTGACTGGGTTGAAAAAGATAGGGTTTCCGTGTGTTATGGGTTGAGAAAAGATGAAGAAAAATGAAAAAGAAAAACCAATGTGGCGATGGGTTGAGTGGGTTGGGAGGAATGACTTCTCCTCCCTAACATATAAATATAGTAACATATGCATAAAAATAGAGGCCTGAAAAATTTGAGGCCTTCCGTCGCACCCGTACTGTGTGCATGATAGAATACATGATATCAACCGGTTGTACTTATCGATACTGTGTTCTTATCCTTTCTCGTGTATCTTATCTCATGTAACTGAATGAGCTATTAATGCCCATCTTCAATGTATAAATACACTAGGCATCTCCTGTCGCAGAGATGTAATACACTTGCACAGCTCGTTCAAAGGAAACAAAGCTCAATAGGTTCCTATCCTTTTTAAATTCAAAACATTATATTTTTAAGTGGTGAGTGTAGAATAGAAAACTACTTGGTTCATTAATTTTGTTATAGAAAGTTTTCTATACAAATGCAAAGATTTTAAAGATAAGGTTGTTCCTAAATTTTTTTAAGGTAGGTCACTAAAAAAAATTATAGAAATTTTAGATAAATTAGAAAAAAATTAGGTAGGTCATTGGACCCTAGCCTGCCCTATGTTTTTAGCCCCTGATTCCTAGTTATATTCCGATTTGGTTTCTTCATTTATTACATTTGGCAAGAAGAAACTGCCGACAATAAGCTACTTTTTTACTTTAAAAATCTTTACTGATGCTATGCAAATTGATTAGGCATTATTACACTATCAAACCGCAATTCGTCAAATATGCTTGCCCTGAGAAATTATTTCATCAATAATTTTGTTTTTGTGTTTTCTATATCTGATTCCTAATTATATTATGTCATATATAGGCATGGCTGCAGGTTTTCAGCTAGTTACACACAAAAGTAGAACTTTTAGAAAGAAAAAAGGAAACGAGATTAATTTGTTTGATTTTCAACCCATCCAAATTAAAATCACAATGAACGATAATATAACATGTATTAGTTGTAATCACTTTTTTTTCAAACCAAAATACATATATATATTTTTTTCATATAGACACATCAATATTTTAAATGATTTGAAGAAATCCTAATCACTTGGATATGTTGACCATGACTCGTCGGTGCCTCTTATTCGTGATTAAAAATAGAAACTCTTACTATACTTACTTTTCGTACGCAGAAGCAATTAACATCTTGCAAACATCTTGCTTATATCTTCAGGTGTGTCAAAATCCATAGCTTTATCATTGATCCATCCTAACTTCTCAAGATAAGGGTTTATGGTCTTCTTTGGAGGGTAATTTTCGATCATATCTTTCCAAACATTTGTTCGATCCAAGTCTGAGGTCATGACCTCCCAAATACAGTTGTTGGATTTGAAACCTGCACCAAAGCTGATCATCAAGATTCTGTCACCTTTCTTCAGCCTTTTCTTGGCCTCCATGTACGCTAGAACATACCAAAGCCCAGCAGACGAAGTGTTCCCAAAACGATGCAGCGTCATTCGAGCTGGTTCAAGGTCATACTCGTTTAGCCCTAAATTTTCACCCACTTCATCGATCACGGCTCTTCCACCTGGGTGTAAGCAGAAGTGATTGATTCCAGTTTTAAGGTTGATTTTCGAACTAGATTTGAACAATAGATAACGAATTATCTCCCAAAGTGGAAGCACTTTTGGTAACAGCACTGTTAGGTTCTTCGTCAAAGCTCGAGCAGCAATTGTTTTGAGAATTTTGCTGAGATAAATGGCTTTATATCCTTGAGCGTCTTCTGACTGCTTGCAGCAGTGGAAGGCTTCGTCATCCGAAGCCAAATTGGTTCGAACCAAGCATTTGAGCTTCAAAATGGCCTGATTCTTGCGAGCGCTGTCGTTGGTTAAAAGCATCGAACAGCCTCCTACCCGGAAAAGACAGTTAGAGATCATCATGGACCTTTCTCTCCCAGAGTACCATTGAGACGACATTGATTCTGTGCTCACAACAATGGCTATTTTCTTCTTGTGAGCCTTGAACAAGTGTTGCACCAGATCGACGCTAATTAGACTTGCACTGCACCCCATTCCTGACAGATTAAACGACTTAATATCGGATCGCATATTGTAATGATTAATGATTCTAGACGTTAGAGATGGCACCGCTGAGAGTAGCGATACATTCACCACAAGTATATCAACTTGAGATGGCAAAATTTTTGATCTGGCAAATATTCTATCGAGCGTATCGTAGAACACGGCTTCTATTTCTGATACGGAATCAACAAGTTTTGGGTGTTCTTCTTCACCCATTATGATGCTTTTTGGACAATAAGTTTCTTCACCAAGGCCTGAATTAACCATGGTTCTTACAAGGAACCTGTGATCTTCTATACACAGATTCTTGTTGCGGGAAACAATCTTCGCACACTGGTGGGTGTCCAGCTTTCTCTCCTTCGGCGCCATGTAGCATTCGTAGTCGATCACATAGCATGTTTGGCCTCGCCTAAATACCAACTTTGTGAACCAAAAACTAACATATGAGATCATAAATAAAATCATACTTGCTGCTAATAACTCCATTGCAAAGGGAGCCATAGAGAAATAGAGAAATATAGATGGTTTTGAAGTGTTGTTTCTTGTGAGTTTTACATATAGCTAGGGATATATATATATGGCTGGTTCCAAGATACCCATGCGTTATTATATTTGCGACAATTTTAGATATTTATTATGTTAAAATAATGTTGGAAATATTTAGTGAATTGACTGTTTAAAAACCACGAGCGTTTTTCTCTGACAAAACTATAAAAATGGTCCGTGGTTTACCAAAAGTCATAAACTCAGCCCTTCCTAATTTTTTTTAACAAACTTGGTCCTTGTGGTCTCCAAAACTTGCATGAATCACCCTTTTTGCTGACGCTGTTTTCATCCGTTAATGTGAGGGTATTATGGTATTTGCAAATAGCAAAGACTGAGTTTGTAACTATGGGTAAACCATAGAGACCATTTATGTAATTTTTTTTATATTTTATGTTTATGAGTTTGTGGTTTTTTCCAACCCTTTACTTTTTAAAATATCATTTTGAACCCTTCATTTTGAACTTTGAAAAATGTTACTTTCACCCTCTATTTTCTAAATTTCCGTGTTTAACTATATATCAAGGTTGTAGAAAACGCTAGACGTTAGCTAGTCGGTGGACTGAGGTATAAGGATTAATCGGGTAGGCGGGGATTAATTGAGGGATTAATCGAATACCATTAATTATCAAGAAAATTATTCAAAAATGTATAAATCTAAGTTTAATCTTAAGAATATAAGTAAATAAGGATAAAAGTTTAATAATAACTTAATAAGTTTAAGAAGCACAACAAATCATCATCCAAAATAAAAATAAAAGCTTAATAATAAGTTTAACTAACACACAAAATCATCATCCAACAAGTCCATTAATAAGTTTAAATAGCTCAAACATAAACACACATTTTCTTCTAATCTTCTCCGCATACTTCCATTATTTGAACCCCATCCGACTCGTATTCGTATTCTTCTAACACTTGCTCCTCACTTTCAGACTCGAAATCTTCATCTAAAAGTTCCCTCGTTCTTGGACTTTCTCGGGGTGCTTGACTAACATCGGTTGCTAAAGCTTCATCAACCGTTTTGGGGTCTACTTCATCTACATCACAATCATCGCAATCAACAATCCATTCTTGAGCCGAGAGAGAATGATTTGCTAATAGCACTTCCATGTTTCTATATTTTCTCCTTTTGTTTTTTTCCATTAAATTAGCATTGAATTGAACATAAACAAGATTGTTCAATTTGCTTGTCTCCAATCTATTCGTTTCTTCGTATGTACCTACAAATTTAAACACAACAAATACTTTAAACATGCTTAATATTAGATTATAAAATATAAATTTAATGTTTTATATTACTAACCCCTTCAAATGTGCTCCAATTCCTTTCACAACCCGATGAACTACTAGTTAAAGAAAGAATCCTCATTGCATTTCTTTGTCAAATGAGGAGTTGTGCCACCAAATAGTCCCCACCAACTAGCTATGGTTTTGAAACAAAAACACATTATTAATCGATAAATATCAAAATTTTATAAAATAGATAAGTAGATAACTAAAAGGAAAACGAATTACCCGGATCAAAGTCGGCATCGTTCACCTTACAATGTTTAATTGCAAGATCGCAACTAAATTTATCAACTTTTTTCTTCTACTTTGGCAAGTCAATAGTTACGACTTGCCTTTGCATCTCTAAATCTCCACGAAATAATGTATCAAAAAAATCAAGAACCGCATCCATTACATCAAGATCATATTGGAGTTGTGGATCCTTATAATGATAATATGGATTCAAAAGATAAGATGTTAAATGTAAAGTTGAATCTAGCCGACCTTTAATCTTTGTGTTTATGAAAGGTTAACGTTTCCATATATATATATATATATATATATATATATATATATATATATATATATATATATATATATAATTTGATTTTCATTAATAACTTCTGTTTTTTAATCTAAAAAAACTATTTTTACATGCTTATTTTTATATATCTGTCGGTATAATTCAAAGTGGTCAACGTTTCAACTTTAATTAAGAATTTTCTTTCATTAATTTTTTTTAAAAAGTTACATGGTTTTTTTATAAATTTGTCGGTTTAATTCGAGGTTGTCTACGTTTCGACACAGTTTTTGTTTATTATTACTTTTTTTTACGTTTTTGTGTTTAAACTTTATATATGTTTCTTACGTATGAGACGAGTCACATATAATAACTTTCATTTTTTAATTTTAAAAAACATATTATATTATAATTTGTCTACGTTTCAACGTAATATCTTTTTTTTTTTTTTTTTTACATTTTTATGCTTAATTTTATGTACATTCCAGCGTATCGTTTGGGTCACATATAACAACTTTCGTTCGTTAATTTAAAAAATATATTATATTTGAGTTTGTCTACGTTTCGACGTAACCTTTTTTTTATATTTTTTTTACGTATCAGTATAGATTCGAGTTCGTCTACATTTCGACGTAATATTTTTAGGTTTTCGTGCTTATTTTTGTGTACGTGTTTTTTACGTTCGTGTTTTTTTTACGTCGGAACGTAACTTTTATCAATACAAACGTCAAAATTCAACTTAGAAAATTAAATACTTATAATTACGCTTTTATCTATTATATGTGAAAATAAATTTAGGGTATCGGGTCGGGTTTGGGTAATTCGGGTATCGTTTGGGTCACATATAACAACTTTCGTTCGTTAATTTAAAAAATATATTATATTTGAGTTTGTCTACGTTTCGACGTAACCTTTTTTTTATATTTTTTTAAGTATCAGTATAGATTCGAGTTCGTCTACATTTCGACGTAATATTTTTAGGTTTTCGTGCTTATTTTTGTGTACGTGTTTTTTTTACGTCGAAACGTAACTTTTATCAATACAAACGTCAAAATTCAACTTAGAAAATTAAATACTTATAATTACGCTTTTATCTATTATATGTGAACAAACTCATACGTATGAACATACATAAAATGAGCACAAAAACGTACATAAAATTTACATCGAAACATAAAAAAAACTCAAATTTATATCGACACGTGCATAAAAACAAGTAAATAAGATTTTTTTAAGTTAACGAACGGAAGCTTAAATAATCAAAAACGTATTATGTGAACCGAGTCATACGTATGAAACGTTAAAAAAATACGTTGCACGAAACGTAGACGAACTCGAATCTATAATAATACGTAATAAAAACGTAAAAAAACGTTACGTCGAAACGTAGACAAGCTCGAAGATAATACATTTTTTTAAGTTAACGAACGAAAGTTATTATATGTGACCCGAATGATACGTAGGAATGTACATAAAATTAAGCACAAAAATATGAAATAAATAAATTACGTCGAAACGTAGACAAACTCGAATATAATACATTTTTTAAAATTAACAAACGAAAATTATTATATGTGACCCATTTCATACGTACAAAACGTATATAAAATTAAGCACAAAAAAAAAAAAAAACTTCGAAACATAGACAAACTCGAATTTAAACCGACAAGTTTATAAAAAACCATGTAATTTTTTAAAAAAAAAAAATTAACGAAAAAAGTTCTAAATTAACGTCGAAACGTTAACCAAATTGAATTATACCGACAAATATATAAAAATAAACACATAAAAATAGTTTTTTAGGTTAAAGAACGAAAATTATTAATGAAAATCAAATTATAATTATATGGGATTAAACACAAAAAATTAGAAAATAGAAGGATGAAAGTAACATTTTTCAAAGTTCAAAATGATATTTTAAAAAGTAAAAGGGTAGAAAAACCACAAACTCATAAACATAAAAATATAGAAAAAAATTACATAAATAGTCTCTATGGTTTACCCATAGTCACAAATTCAGTATCTGTTATTTGAAAAGACCAAAATACTACACTAACTGATGTAAAAAAAAGGGTTATTTATGCAAGTTTTGGTAAACCACACGACCATTTTTGTTGATTTGTCTTTCTTTTTTTTCTTTTATGGCTTTGAACGGCAGCCGTCAAAGTCTTTTTTTTTTGTTTCTTTTTTCTTTTTTTCTTTTTTCTTAACGGCAACTAGATGATTTTTCAAACTTCAAAGTCCAATAATGTGAGATTGATTCCATTAATAGATATTGCATGTGAGTTGGTTGGCTAGTCGGAGTAAATATGACTGGGGACATTAATTAATGAAATTCTGAATTTTCGTATGCCTATATATCTATCACAATCTATAAACTTTTTTCTAGCGACTTCATTCGATTAATCTTTCAAAGAGTTTTTGTTCGTATCATATTTTCATTAATTTTATTAAATAAACAACTATTATTAAAATGGAGAAGGTCTATTCTTCCAAATCCACATGTTACATTGTTACATCATATCAATTTTTCTTTTTCATATAATTACCATCAATCAACATGCGAAAAGACATCTATCATGAAACAAGACATTTTGGTACAATTTACATTGCATATGATAAAAGTGATATAAGAGACAAGAGGACGAGCGGCGGAGTTGGTTGGGAACCCGTTGAACCAACGGAATCATGTGGTACCTAGACTTGAAAACTTGTCTGACGTGTCGGAACCTGTTGACCAACACTACAAGAAAACATGGAATTAGCGGCGACAATAAGTTATGTTGCCGCTAATTCCAAATGACTGAATCCGCGTCAAATTTTCTTGCTAAACCCCATCCGTTCGATCAAGCATCAAATCCAATGGTAGGGAGCTCAGATTCACATAAACATAATAGCGGCGACACCAATACGGGCGACATGTGTCACCACTAATAGTAAAAAAAAGACGCAACTTTTCTTTTCCTCCATACGTGTCGCCGCAATTGACGGATACCGTTGTTATTAATCATCGCATCGCCGCTATTAGTCGACG